CCTCTATTCTTGGACTGCAACTCCCAGCAGTCCTCCTGATCGATCTACCTACCGACCCATAATCTATCTATCTTATTTATCTGGAGGATTGCTGGGAGTTGCAGTCCAGGAATAGGAAATTGGAAATATGCCGGGATTGGGATGCGCTCAAAGAAATCCAAGGAGAAGAAAGCTTGCATCTTGGAAGCAGTGCATTTGGATCATCCTCCTCTCCTAAAGGACCTGGTCTAGGGGATGCTGGGAGCTGTAGTCTGGAAGAGAGTGTGGATATGCTATTGTGTGTTTTGTTTGCCAGGGAGTCATTTTGTGCATGCGCTGTAATGTCTTTTGGGGGTTTTTTTCTTTTTAAGTCCCTTCCGCTGTGTTTTTCAGTGTTTTTATGAGTGATGGTCACTCACTGGCTCAATAGGTGTATTGTGTCCAAATTTGGTGTCAATTTGTCCTGTGGTTTTTTAGTTATGATACTCCCACAAACGAACATTACGTTTATATATATAATACTAGCCGTCCCCTGCCACATGTTGCTGTGGCCCAGTCTGTGTATTTTGTGTGTGTATATATGTATGTGTCTATTTTTGTGTGTTTGTGTATATATGTGATTTTGCACATGCATTGTAATGTAAGTTTTGTTTTTTGGCATTTGAAGTCCCTTCTGCTGTTTTTTTCAGTGTTTTTATGAGTGATGGTCATTTATTGGCCCGATAGGTGTATTGTGTCCAAATTTGGTGTCAATTCGTCCTGTGGTTTTTGAGTTATGTTACTCTCACAAACAAACATTACATTTTTATTTATATAGATATATCTATATAGTATGAAAGTCTTATAAATAAGTACCTTAGGAAGTCTGACTTGGCCACGGTAGTCCACACTCTGGTTACATCCCGTATAGACTACTGCAACGCTCTCTACATGGGGTTGCCTTTGAAGATGGTCCAGAAGCTTAAAATTAGTCCAACGAACGGCAGCCAGGTTGCCAACAGGAGCGGCGCTCAGGGAGCATACAACTCCCCTGTTGCGCCAGCTCCACTGGCTACCAGTTTGCTACCGGGCCCAATTCAAAGTGCTGGCTTTGGCCTATAAAACCCTAAACGGTTCTGGCCCAACTTACCTGTCTGAACACATCTCCCCTTATCAAGATGATAAGATTATCTGGTTAGGCCCTGCTCTCGGTCCCGCCTTCGTCACAAATACGGTTGGCGGGGACGAGAGGCAGGGCCTTCTCAGCAGTGGCCCTTCGGCTATGGAACACTCTCCCCAAGGAGATTAGATTGGCTTCTTTGCTCCTAACATTTCGGAAAAAACTCAAGACATGGCTGTTTGAGCAAAGCACTTGCAAATATTGAGTAATGTACAGAGGAAAATGGAACAACTATATGATGGAATTGGACAATGTTTTTAGTGAGGACTAGCCGTCCCCTGCCACCCGTTGCTGTGGCCCAGACTGTATATATGTGTTTTGTGTGTGTGTGTGTGTGTGTGTATATATATATATATATGTTTATATGTGTGTATATATCTGTGTATATAAGTGTGTTTGTGTGTGTGTGTGTGTATATATATAGATAGATGTATATATGTGTGTGCATATGTGTGTGTGTAGACGTGTATATATGTGTGTATATATTTGTGTGTTTATAAGTGCATATGTGTTTATATTGTGTATATGTGTTTGCTTGTCTTTATGCATATTTGTGTTTATATATGTGTATGTATGTGTGCATGTGTATATTTGTGTGTGAATGTGTATATATATATATGTGTGTGTGAGTGTATGGTGTATTTTGGGGGGCTTTAAGTCTGTTCTGCTGAGGGTTGTTTTTTTTTTTTTTTTGTATTTTAGGGGTGATGAACACTCGTTGGACTGTTAGGTGTATTGTGTCAAAATTTGGTGTCAATTCGCCCAGTGGTTTTTGAGTTCTGTTAATCCCACAAACAAACATTACATGTTTATTTATATAGAGATTTACTGACTTATGTTTTACTGCTATTGATATGATTTTATTGATGTTAATGTTTTAATTTTTTTTTTTTTTTTGTATTTTGTGGCATTGAATTTTGCCTTGTAAACTGCCTCGAGTTGCCGCAAGGCTAAGAGGGGTGGTATACAAATAAAGTAAATAATAATAATTATAATAATTATAAATGGGTTGGTTCAACCCTTTGGTTTGCTAGTAAAACGGAATGACCGTGTCGTGGAAGGCTGCATGCCTCAAAAGCATGTCATGAAAAGTTCAGAAAGTTCAGAAAGACCTCACTACCTCTGAGGATGCTTGCCATAGATGCAGGCGAAACTTCAGGAGAAAATGCCTCTAGACCATGGCCATATAGCCTGAAAAAACCTACAACAACCCATTTCAGAAAGCTCTTCTCTATGGCGAATCCCAGCTATGAAGCAAGTAGAAAGTGCTGCACCTGTTGAACTTCTGCCTGAGATTCAGAGCCAGTCCTGAAGAACTGAAAGGTGCAACAACAACTAAAAGGAAGTGATTCTATGCTCTGTTGAGATTTCAGGCGGTGTAGAAAGAAAGAAGAAAAGTTTGCACCTGTTGAGCTTCTGCCTGAAATTCAATAAGAGCTCAGGGCCAGCTCTGATGAACAGAGAGGTACAAACCCAGAAGGGAGAACTTCAATGCTCTATCTATGGGACTTTCGAGGAATGCAACTAGTAAACAAAAAGAAGGATGTGCTGCACCCGTTGGTCTTCAGCCTGAAATCAATTAATTCATCGTTGAGGGCTTGTCACTAACCCAGGTAGGAGGAAGGGAGGGATTGTAGGGTTTTTTCCAAGCAATGCAAGGAAGGATGAGCTGCACCTGTTGAACTTCTGCCTGAAGCTCAACAAGTAAATGCTTTTAGAGCCAGGCCTGAAGAATAGAGAGGACAAGGATGGGAGAGATTCTATGCACAGAGAGGGGGGTTTAAGCAATGCACCTAGAAGAAAAGAAAGAAGAGCTGACCCTGTTGAATGTCTGCATGAAGCTACTAGAGTAGATTCTAAAGGAAAAGGAGGAAGTGCTGCACCGGTTGGGCTTCTGCCTGAAGGCTTGATAGTTAATAGTCCAAAGGAAAGAGAGAAACGCCTCTCTATTAGGGAGAAAGGAAGAGGGTTAAGGAACTCGGAGGAGAAAGTTGGGGAAAGTTCACTTTCGGGCTGCCGTGTAAACAGCCCCTCCCTGAAACCGAAGTGACTCCGCTTTTACCTTTCCGACGGTTCATGGTCCAGAGGGGCGGCCGAAGAGTCCCCAAGAGGGCCTCCCCAGGCAGGAAGGAAGGAGGGAGGAAAGGAAGGAGAGAGGAAGAAGGGAACGCGAAAGAGGAGGAGGAGGAGGAGTGCAGGGCAAAAGGGGCCGGCCTCCAGCTCCTCTGTCCGGGCGGGGGGACCACACCGGACTCCCAACCAAAAAGACCCCTCCTTTTGATACACGACTCTAGATATTAAATGGTTATGACATGGAAGGAAGGGAGGGAGGAAAGAAAGATGGAAGGAAAGGAAGAAGGAAGGAAGGAAAGAAAGGAATGAAGGAAGTAAATAGAAAGGAGGAAAAAAAAGGAAAGAAAGATGGGAAGGAGAGAAAGAAAGAAGGCAGGAAAGAAGAAAAGAAAGAAGGAAGGAAAGAGTGAGGGAATGATAATAAAGGAAAGAAAGTAAGTGAAAGGAAGGAAAAAAGCAGGAAAGAAAGATGGGAAGAAGGGAGGAAAGAAAGAAGGAAGCAAAGAAGGAAGAAAGGAATGAAAGAAGGAAGGAAAAGAAAAAGAGGAAGAAAGAGGAAGAAGGAGGGAAAGAAAGAAGAGGAAAAGAGGGAAGGAAGGAAAAGGAAAGGAAGAAGAAGGAAGGAAGAAGGAAGGAAGGAAAGAGTGAGGGAATGATAATAAAGGAAAGAAAGAATGAAAGGAAGAAAAGGGAAAGAAAGAAAGGAAAGAAGGAAAAAAGCAGGAAAGAAAGAAAATGGGAAGAAGGGAGGAAAGAAAGAAGGAAGCAAAGAAGGAAGGGAGGAAAGAAGGAGGGAAGGAAAGAAAGAAGAAAAGGAGGAAGAAAAAGGAAGAAGAAGAAGAAAGGAAAAAGAGGGAAGGAAGAAAGAAAGGAAAAGGGAGAAAGAGAAGAAGGAAGGAAAAAGAAAGAAAGATGGGAAGGAGGAAGAAAGAAAGAAGGCAGAAGGAAGGAAAGAAAAAAGGAAGGAAGGAGAGGGAAAGAAAAAAAGGAAAGGAAGAGGAAAGAAGGAAGGAAAAAGGAAAGAAAGAAGAAAGAAGAGAAAAGAAAGAAAAAGAAGGAAGGAAGAAGAAAGAAGAGGGAAGAAAGAAATGGAAGGAAGGAGAAAAAGAGAAAGAGGAAGAGAAGAAGAGGAAGGAAGGAAGAAGAAAAAAGAGGAGTGAGGGAATGATAATAAAGGAAAGAAAAAAGCGAAAGGAAGGAAAAAATAGGAAAGAAAGATGGGAGGAAGGGAGGAAAAAAGAAAGAAGCAAAGAAAGGAAGGCAAGAAAGAAGGAAAGAAGGAAAGCAGCAAGGAAGGAAAGAGTGAGGGAATGATAATAAAAGAAAGCGAAAGGAAGCAAAGAAGGAAGAAAAAAAAGAAAGAAAGCAAGAAAGAAGGATGGAAAGAAAGAAGGAAAGAGAATGAGGAAATAATAAAACATTTGTAGTAAAACTTTATTTGTAGAAAGGAATGAAGGAAGGAAGCAGGCAATGGAATAGTTAAAGAGGGATTTGTGTTTCTGGGTTATCAATGTCATTTCCTAACTGGTTCTATCATAAAAACATGGGAAAAGTTTATTAAATAGCAAAAGGTTTGTTTTTGCAAGACATCCCGCAGTACATTTGGCTCTCGTTTTTCCATGAATCTCTCATTGAGTCTCAACCGAGCCAAGATAGTCTGAAGCACACAAAAACAAACTTTTACTTGGAAAAGAGTAGATCAACTCCTTTCCAATTAAGGACCACACAATTAAACAGGAAGTCCCACTTTCAAACTGGGGACGGAACATTTTTCTGCAGGATGTCCCTCTTGCAACCAAGTTTTTGTAGTTTAATACACTTTTTCCATGATTTTAGGATATAACCAATTAGGAAATGACATTTATAACCCGGGAAAACATGTTTCATAGCGTTCTGGATCCTAACTCTGTTTCCTGGAGCATTAGTTCTCCCTTCCAGTTATCTGCATCCCATGGATCCAAGAACTGGTCCAATGCAACTTACTGTTGACCATGAACTATAAATCCCTCCAAGGTTTGCTTCCAGGAGAACACTGCTTTCTTCTTCCAGCAGCCTTTAAGGATGGGGTTACTTTTATTTGCTTTTTTCCCACCGTTCCAGAGTTTCAATGTTATTTTTAATCACAACTTTGTGGGTGTTTTCCAACCAGGTTTGTATTTATTTGTTGTGCTGTGTTTTGTAAACTGCTTTGAGTCACTTTGGAGTAAGGGAAAGAGTGGATATAAATACAATAACGAGTGCAACGTATAAGATCCCACTGTCCACAGCCTGAAAAACACCCCAAAAGACAATTTCCAAAGGCATATCTGCCATTTTATATAAAGGGATGCAATTGTAAAACTTAACTTTTATTAGTATTAATGATTTTTGTATGGCTTTGAATTGTTTTGTTTTTTTATCTATGCCTGCTACTCGTGTTTTACCTTGACTTGAAGGAATACAAATATTATAATAGTAAAAGTAAAGGTTTCCCCTGACATTAAGTCTAGTCGTGTCTGACTCAGGGTGGTGGTGCTCATCTCTATTTCTAAGCCGAAGAGCCAACGTTGTCCGTAGACACCTCCATTTCTGTGTACGAACCCATGCAATCTCTTTGATCATTTGGAGAGGCCTTTCACTTGCTCCTTCCCCCTTTACAGGCGCGACTGGTGGGGATGAGGGAGAGGGCCTTCTCTGTGGTGGCCCCGACTCTGGAACTCACTTCCTAAGGATATCAGGCAAGCCCCCACATTGGCAGTCTTTAGGAGGAGCCTGAAAATGTGGCTGTTCCAGTTTGCCTTCCCTGAATCAGGAAATAATCCCCAGCAAAATGTCCTCAGAAGCACTTTAACTACTTGTTGGGTGGTTCTCCCCAAATTTCTTTTTAAACCCTCCTATCAGATACATCCTACCTCTGTTAATGCCCAGGGTTTATTTTTTAAATTTTAAACTATTACATTTGGCCCAGCCATAGGTTTTTTAAATCCTTGTGTGTTACTGTTTATATGTGAGCTATATTAATTGTATTGTTTTGGCTTTTTTTTGTTTTGTTTTATTGATGTGTTGTCAGGCTTGGCCTCATATAAGCCGCTCCGAGTCCCCTTGGGGAGATGGTGGCGGGGTATAAATAAAGTTTTTTTAATTATGATTATTATTATAGAGCGCTGTTACCTTCCTGCCAAAGTGCTACTTTTTGATCTACTCACATTTTTATACTGCTAGGTTGGCAGAAGCTGGGGCTAACAGCGGGAGCTCACTTCGCTCCTAAGATTCGAACTGCCAACCTTTTGGTCAGCAAGTTCAGCAGCTCAGTGGCGTAACCCACTGCACCATCGGAGATGGCCATCTAGCCTCTGTTTAAAAGCCTCCAAAAATGAGCTTTTTTGTGTCTCTTTTGGCAGAGAAATAATAACAACAGTAACAATAGAAATAAGTAGCATCAAACTGCCTTAATCCTATTTATGTTTGTTGCTTTGAGACTTTTTGGCAGAGAAAAAGCAGAGTAACAACAACAACAATAATGATAATAATAGATCACATCCTCAGCTGCTGCAAGAAGATCGCACAGACAGACTACAAGCAGAGGCATAACACCGTTGCTCAGATGATTCATTGGAACTTGTGCCACAAATACCATCTGCCTGCGACAAAGAACTGATGGGATCACAAGCCGGAAAGAGTTACAGAGAATGAACACGTCAAACTCCTCTAGGACTTCTGGATTCCGTGAGTTTTGGAGCATAAGACTCCTGACCTCACAATCATGTTAAAAAACAAAGTATGGATCATCTATGTGAACTGGAAAAGCTGACACAATATGGGGATTTAAAAATCGAACTGCAAAGACTCTGACAGAAACCAGTAAAGGTGGTCCCAGTGGTGATTGGCACACTGGGTGCAATGCCTAAAGACCTTGGCCTACATTTAAACACAATCAGCGCTGACAAAATGACCATCTGCTAGCTGCAGAAGGCCACTTTACTGGGAACCAACATTGATGGAAGTCAATAGTAAAAAACTGCTTAAAGTGCAAAAGACAAAGAGGGAATATCTCAAAAATGCAATGCAATGCAGAGCAAAAGAGAAAACAGGCAAATAAAGGCTCTCCATGGACAGTTCCTGGGAAAAATTGAGAGCCAAATTGACAAAGAAAAAACATGGCTGTGGCTCACAAATGGAACTCTAAAAAGGGAGATAAAGGAGGGCCTGATTCTGGCAGCCCAAGAACAAGCCATTCGAACCAATGCCATCAAAGTCAGAATTGAAAAGTCGACAACAGATCCCAAATGTAGACTCTGCAAGGGAGCCAACGAAAGGATGGATCACATACTCAGCTGCTGTAAGAAGTTGGCGCAGATGGACTACAAGCAGAGGCACAACACAGTTGCTCAGATGATCCATTGGAATTTGTGCCACAAATACTGTCTGCCTGAGACAAAGAACTGCTGGGATCACAAGCCTGAAAAAGTTACACAAAATGAACATGTCAAACTACTCTGGGACTCCTGAATCCAGACTGAGAGTTTTGGAGCACAAGACTCCTGACCTCACAATCGTGGAAAACAATGAAGTATGGCTCATTGATGTTGCAATCCCAGGTGACAGCAGGATTGACAAGAAGCAACTGGATAAGTTGACACAATATGAGGATTTAAAGATCGAACTGCAAAGACTCTGGCACAAGCCAGTAAAGTTGGTCCCAGTGGTGACCGGCACACTGGGTGCAGTGCCTAAAGACCTTGGCCTGCACTTAAAAACAATCGACGCTGACAAAATTACTGTCAGCCGCAAAAGGCTACTTGGATCTGCACGCAATATTTGCCAATATATCACACAGTCCTAAACTCTTGGGAAGTGTCCAACGTGTGATCAAATGCAAAAGCCAGCATAGTGATCTTGTTTGCTGTATACGAATCTTGTTGTGTGTCTAATAATAATAATAATAATAATAATAATAGGACGTAGCATCAAATTGCATTAATTCTATTAATGACAGTTGCTTTGGGTCTCTTTTGGCAGAGAAAATGCAGAGAATAAATAATAATAATAATGATCAAAGAATCAAAGAGTTGGAAGAGACCTCATGGGCCATCCAGTCCAACCCCATTCTGCCAAGAAGCAGGAATATTGCATTCAAATCACCCCTGACAGATGGCCATCCAGCCTCTGTTTAAAAGCTTCCAAAGAAGGAGCCTCCACCACACTCCAGGGCAGAGAGTTCCACTGCTGAACGGCTCTCACAGTCAGGAAGTTCTTTCCTCATGTTCAGATGGAATCTCCTCTCTTGTAGTTTGAAGCCATTGTTCCGCGTCCTAGTCTCCATGGAAGCAGAAAACAAGCTTGCTCCCTCCTCCCTGTGGCTTCCTCTCACATATTTATACATGGCTATCATATCTCCTCTCAGCCTTCTCTTCTTCAGGCTAAACATGCCCAGCTCCTTAAGCCGCTCCTCATAGGGCTTGTTCTCCAGACCCTTGATCATTTTAGTCGCCCTCCTCTGGACACATTCCAACTTGTCAATATCTCTCTTGAATTGTGGTGCCCAGAATTGGACACAATATTCCAGGTGTGGTCTAACCAGAGCGGAATAGAGGGGTAGCATTACTTCCCTAGATCTAGACACTATGCTCCTATTGATGCAGGCCAAAATCCCATTGGCTTTTTTTGCCGCCACATCACATTGTTGGCTCATGTTTAACTTGTTGTCCACGAGGACTCCAAGATCTTTTTCACACGTACTGCTCTCGAGCCAGGCATTGTCCCCCATTCTGTATCTTTGCATTTCGTTTTTTCTGCCTAAGTGGAGTAAAAACGAAATGCAAAGATACATGATGATAAGTGGCATCAAACTGCATTAATCCTATAGATGCACCTTCAATGTTCAATTACCATTTCTTCCCCGAACGAATATTGCCATGAGCGGAAGCTGTGCTTGGGACTCCAAAGAAAGGCACCAGACGGAGGGCTCCATGTCAAACCATTATATTTATAGCAAAAATAGGCTTTTTCTCCTCTCTTCCCACACGAGGCCCCTCCCCCCTCCCCCAAAAACATTTCAACAGTAAACAGGTCAGCAATTGCTGCCGCCATATACATATATCTATACATAACGTGTGTTTGTGTGCAGAACCAGCCACCTCTGCCAGGCTTCCCGCTGGCCTTCCCTCCCCAAAATACAATGCCTCTTTGCCCACCCCTTTGGCCCCCAAATTCCCAACGGATGAGCGTGCAAAACCAGTCCCGCCTGTTCCATTCTGTGTTTTGAACCGATGATGGAGCCGAGCGCAAAACCTTCCTCCGAAGCCAAGAGTCCAGCAAGGCATCCTCGAACCCGGCATCTCCCTGGAAGGAAAACATTGCCACCCCCCCCCCCCCCCCCCACAAAAAACTAGAATAAAACAAACCCAAGTGAGAGCAACACTGGAAGAAAAACACATCCGTTGCTCCCAAGGAAACCCAGGAAGGAAGGACGGACGGAGAAAAACAAAGCCACGAATGGAGTGTCTTTGGAGGCATCAGGGGCCCTTCGCAGCGAGACGGCAGTCTGCCATGTGAGCAAGGGACCGGCAGTAGAAAGGTTTGGAAAGAGACCCCCAATGGGATTCCTTTTGGGAAGAAGGAGTGATTTTTTCTGGGACTACAACTTCCAAAACCCTCCCTAGTTTCTGGTAATTAGTCCAAATAGCTAAAAAACACACACATTTTCTCCAAACTGTTTTGGTCCTTCCTTACTTCTGGAACAGAACAGCCCACTGACCCTCCAGGAAAGGCTTCTGGGATTTGTAGTTTACCCCCCCCCCCCAACTGAGCACTCTTAGAACCCCATAAAGACCAGCAGGAGATGAATGTGCATAAGCCTTACTCTCCTCGACAAAACTCCAAAGAAGTCCAGTTTGAAACCCATGTCCAAAGTTGTCCCCAACCCAAACCCAATGGTCAAGAGAAGGTCCATGTCCAGAAACGGAAGTCAAGTTGGCACAACGAGGAACAACATCAGCAGCAGGAATGACGCCAGGGAAGGACGGGATCTGACCTCCTCCTTGGTTTCTCATACCGGAACGGACGGCAAAGTCCGAACTATGGAAGCACCCTCAAATGAAAGACGCAGAGGCCCTTTCGCCCCCAAATTGGTCCCATCCGCCCGGTGACTGCACATGAAGATGGAAGAGCGCTTCGAAAGGGGGAAAGGGGCGGAGAAGGCTGTGAAGTAAACACGGCAGGTGAATGCCACGGCGCAGGTGGCCCACGGAGGCCCTAGGAGACCATGTGGTGGGTGATGGCCCTCAGGGCGTAGAGCAGCTCCGCCTGCAAGCGGGCCTCCAGGATGAGCAGGTTCACGTGGACCTGGAAGGAAAGGGTCAAGGCAGAAAAGGTCAAGGCGGGTTCATGGGGCACAGTTATTATTATCATTAAGCACTGAATGAGTATCTGTCAGGAGGGCTTGGGTTGTGTCTTTCTGTATAGCAATATGGGATTGGACTACACAGCCCTTGGGGTCTCTTCCAGTTCTATGGTTCTCTCATTGTTGTTAGGCAGGGGCTGGATGGGCATCTGTCGGGAGTGATTTGTGTGGCCCTTGGGGTCTCTTCCAATTCTATGGCTCTATTATTATTATTATTATTATTATTATTATTATTATTAAGCAGGAACTAGATGGGTATCTGTCGGGAGTGGTTTGATTGTGTTTTCAACCTGGCAGAATGGGATTGGACTGCATGGCCCTTGGAATCTCTTCCAGTTCTATGGTTCTCTCATTGTTAGGCAGGGGCTGGGTGGGCATCTGTCGGGAGTGGCTTGATTATGTGGCCCTTGGGGTCTCTTCCAATTCTAGGTTCTATTACTATTATTATTATTATTATTACTACTATTTTTATTATTATTATGGCAGAACAGGATTGGACTACATGGCTTTTGGGGTCTCTTCCAAGTCTATGGTTCTGTTGTTGTTGTTATTGTTGTTAGGCAGGGGCTGGATGGGCATCTGTTGGGAGTGGCTTGGCTGTGTGGCATTTGGGGTCTCTTCCAATTCTATGGTTCTATTGTTGTTGTTATTATTATTAAGCATGGATGGGCATCTGTTAGGAATGGTTTGATTGTGTCTTTCAACCTGGCAGAAGGGAGTTGGACTGCATGGCTCTTGGGGGTCTCTTCCAAGCCTATGGTTCTCTTGTTGTTGTTATTAGGCAGGGGCTGGATGGGCATCTGTCAGGAGTGGTTTGATTGTGTGGCCCTTGGGGTCTCTTCCAATTCTATGGTTCTATTATTATTATTAAACAGGGACTAGATGGGTATCTGTCGAGAGTGGTTTGATTGTGTCTTTCAGCCTAGCAGAATGGGATTGGACTGCAGGGCTCTTGGGGTCTCTTCCAAGTCTATGATTCTCTTGTTGTTATTAGGCAGGGGCTGGATGGGCATCTGTTGGGAGTGGATTGGCTGTGTGGCACTTGGGGTCTCTTCCAAGCCTATGGTTCTATTATTGTTGTTGTTATTATTAAGCAGGGATGGGCATCTGTCGGGAGTGGTTTGATTGTGTCTTTCTGCATGGCAGAAGGGAGTTGGGCTGCATAGCTCTGGGGGGTCTCTTCCAAACTTATGATTCAAATTCTTGCAATCCATTAAGATGAATAAACGACACATGACAAGAAAGGGAAAGGTGTCCTCTTCTTCCCCTTCCTCCTCCAGACTTTTGGAGCGGCCCTCCTGACCATCCGTTCCTTCCTCTCCTTTACATCTCAATTAGGCAAAAACTATAGAGTGAATGCATCACTCGTACGGCCTGTGTCTCAAGAATATGGGATTCTTGGAGTTTTAGCTGGCACTCATTGGCAGAGAAGGCTCAAGACTTTGCCAAACTACAACTCCTAGCATTCGCATAACATTGGGCTATGGCATGTTCTCCAGACCTTTCATCCTTTTAGTGGCCCTTTTAGTGGTCATTATTCCTCTTGAATTGCTTTGCCCAGAAGTGGACACAGGTTATTATTCCAGGCGATATGGAAATTCGACTTCTTTGGAAGCAGCTCAGAATCCCATTGGCCTTTTCCTTCCCTTTGGGCTTTCTCTGCCTCGTCTTCCCTCAAACGCTTGCCTTCTCTTACCTTTTCACTGTGCTTGAACTGCTTCCAGAAGCGCTCAAACATCTCCGGGTTCATCTTTTCCGGGAAGCAGGTGACCGTCTTGATGTAGAGCTTTAGGAGGCGCTCCAGGAGGTGGTTGACCTCGGCATAGTCGTAGTCGTCGTACCTGGGATGGGGCATTTAGGATGACTTATTACACTATGTAACACGATTGTCGTTCCTGGGTTTTCAATGTCATTTCTTAATTGGTTCTATCATAAAAACATGGAAAAGTTTTATTAAACTGTACAAACTTTGTATTTGTGGGAGGCACATTCTGCAGCACATTTTGCTATAGTTTTTCAATGAGTATCTCATCAAGTCTCAACCAATTCAACATAGTTTGTGGCAGCTACAGGGGGCGGGGACATGGAATTCATCTGGGCGCATGGTGCCGTGTCATCATCTATCTTTTTTTATTTTAAAGTTCTTTTCACTTTTTTGGTGATTTTTGGAGTGATGGTCACTCCTTGGGTTGTTAGGTGTCTTGTGGCCAAATTTGGTGTCATTTCATCCAGTGGTTTTTGAGTTATGGCAATCCTATATATATATAAATAAAAATGTAATGTTTTTTTTGTGGGATTAACAGAACTCAAAAACCACTGGACGAATTGACACCAAATTTGGACACAAGACACCTAACAACCCAATGTATGTCCTTCACTCAAAAAATTGATTTTGTCATTTGGGAGTTGTAGTTGCTGGGATTTATAGTTCACCTACAATCAAAGAGCATTCTGAACTCCACCAACGATGGCATTGAACCAAACTTGGCACACAGAACTCCCATGACCAACAGAAAATATTGGAAGGGTTTGGTGGGCATTGACCTTGAGTTTTGGAGTTGTAGTTCACCTACATCCAGAGACCACTGTGGACTCTAACAATGATGGATCTGGACCAAACTCTACACGAATACCCAATATGCCCAAATGTGAACACTGGTGGAGTTTGGGGAAAATAGAATCTTGACATTTGGGAGTTGTAGTTGCTGGGATTTATAGTTCACCTACAATCACAGAGCATTCTGAACTCCACCAATGATAGAATTGGGCCAAACCTCCCTCACAGAACCCCCATGTGGGCCACAGCAAGGCATGGTAGGGGACGGCTAGACTATATAAATAAAAAATTAATGTTCGTTTGTGGGTTTAACAGAACTCCAAAACCAGTGGGCCAATTGACACCAAGTTTGGACAGCAGACATCTAACAACCCAATGTATTTCCTTCACTAAAAAAAATGATTTTGTCATTTGGGAGTTGTAGTTGCTATGATTTATAGTTCACCTACAACCAAACAGCATTCTGAACTCGACCAATTATGGCATTGAACCAAACATGGCACACAGGATTCCCATGATGAACAGAAAACACCAGAAGGATTTGGTGGGCATTTATGTTGAGTTTGGGAGTTGTAGCTCACCTACATCCAGAGAGCACTGTGGACTCAAACAATGATGGATCTGGGCCAAACTTGGCACGAATATTCCATATGCTCAAATATGAACACAGATGGAGTTTTGGGGAAAATAGACCTTGACATTTGGGAGTTGTAGTTACTTAGATTTATAGTTCACCAACAATCAAAGAGCATTCTGAAGCCCACAAATGACAGAATTGGGGCAAATTTCCCACACAGAACCCCCCAAGAACAACAGAAAATACTTAAGGCCATCCATAATTTTACAAGGTCTTGAGTCTTCTCTGCCAAAGAAGGTTGGTGCCTCACCAAACTACAAATCCCAGAATCCCATAGCAATGTGCCTTTAAATTAGAGCTCCTTGTGCTCCTGAAGCAGCTTCCCCTTTTGCTTTGGCTCGGCACCATGACTACTATATCGCATGCCCTAATTCTGGTGAGGTAATGTTGCTGAAACAGTTGAGCATTAGTTTCAAGTGAAAGGGGTCTATAATACATCAGGGATGATAGGCAGATCGGTACCTGATCCCGAAGATGCAGTGGACATAGTTCCAGATGGCGCGCTTGAGGGCGGCGTGTTCACAGCCCTGCCGCTTGGCCATGGAGCCACCCTTGAGGCCGTCCACCGTCCGGAATCTCTCATCCAGTAGGAGCCCGATGTCCGAATAGAGCCGGTTCACCAGGGAGAAGCCGTGGTCCTCCCAGGAGTAGTCCTAAAGAAGGAAGGAAGGGAAACAGGTCTAGAGGGGCCACACTGGGAGGATGGAAGGAAGGAGGAAAAGGAGGGAGGAAGGAAGAGAGGGAGGGAGGAAGAAAGGGAAGAAGGAATGAAGAGAGGAAGGGAGGGAGGGAGGAAGAAAGGGAGACAAGGAGTAAGAAAGGAAGAGAAGGAGGAAGGGAGGAAGAGAGGGAGGAAAAAAGGGAGGACGAAAGGGAGGGAGGAATGGAGGAAAAGAGGAGGAAAAAGGAAGAAAGGAGAAGGAAGAGGAGAGGAAGGGAGAAAAGAGGGAGGAAAGGGAGGGAGGAGAAAGAAAGAGAAGGAGGAAGGGAGGAAAAGAGGGAGGACAAAAGAGGAGAAGGGAGGAAGAGGAGGAAGGGAGGAAAAGAGGGAGGACGAAAGGGAGGGAGGGAGAAAGGAAGAGGAAGGAAAAGGGAGGAAGGAGGAAAAGGGAGGGAAAGAGAGGAAGGAAGGAAGAAAAGGAGGAAGAGAGAAAAGAGGGAAGACGAAAGGAAGAGAGGGAGGAAGGAGGAAAAGGGAGGATGAAAGGCAGGAGGGAGGGAGGAAGAGGAGGAGGAAAAGAGAGGAAAGAGGAAAAAGGGAGGAGGAGAAGACAGAGGAAGGGAAGGAGAGAGAGAGTAAGAAAGGGAGGGAGGGAGGAAAGGAGGAAGAAGGAATGAATGAATGGAGAGAAAAAGGAAGGAAGGAGAGAATGAAGGGGAAGGAGGGAAGGTAGAGAACAAAGGGAAGGGAGGGAGAGGATGGCCCCTGTGGATGAGATACCTGTGAAGCAGCCAGACCCACCTGGACGCGGAAGATCTGCAGCCGGTCCTTGTCGCACTGCGCAAAGTCCTGGTAGCCAAAGCCGGGGTCTTGCAGGAAGCAGGAGAGGTCTGCCGCGCCAGAGAGCCCCCCATCGGAACCTAAGAGGTAGAAAAGCCATGAGAAAGTCAGCAGCAGGGCAGCGCCTTCGAATCTGGGGATGGGAAACAGGTCTCTCTGTGTGTGTTAGGTTGCAAACACAATTAAAACACAATACATGCAATTAAATAAATGCACCCAGGAATGTGCTCCTTATCATTCCAGGTAAGAGAAAAGCCAGAGCCAATTGGGAGGAAGGGGTTGTGCTATATCTCTATGGCTAGATATACAGTATATAGCAGGTATGGGGAAACCCAGGCCCAAGGGCTGGATGCAGCCCCTTGGGCTCTTTTGTCAGACCCTCCTCTCTCACCACCCTATCCTTCCTTCTCTCTTTCCTTCCTCCTTCTCTTCCTTTTTCTCCTTCCCTTCCACCCCTTCATACTTCATTTCTTGCCCTCTTTCCTTTCTCCCTCCTTCCTTCCCTTCCACTCTTTCGTCCCTGCCTCCCTTTTATATTTTCTTCCTTTTCTTTCCTTTTCTCCCTCCCTCTTTCTCCTCCCATCCTTCCCTTTCACTCTTTTGTCCTTCCTTCCCTCTTTCCTTCCCATTTGTCTTTCCTCCCTTCCCTCTTCCCTCCCTCCTCCCATCCTTCCCTTTCACTCTTTCATCCTTCCCTCTTTCGTCCCTCCCTCTTTCTCCTTCCATCCTTCCCTTTCACTCTTTTGTCCTTCCTTCCTTCCCATTTGTCTTTCCTCTTTCCTCTCTCCTTCCATCCTTCCCTTTCACTCTTTTGTACTTCCTTCTTTCCTTCCCAGTCTTTCCTTCCTTCCTCTTCTTCCTCCCTCCTTCTCTCCCCCCTCTTTCTCCTTCCATTCTTCCCTTCCAACTTTTGTCCTTCTTTCCTCCTTCCCTTCCTTCCTTCCCATCACCAGGCAGCCAGTACTCCTAGCAGGGAGTGCTAGTATGCGGCCCCCAAGTTAGAAAGTTTTCCCATGCCTGGTGTATAGTATAGTACACATTTATATATAGAGTGTATATTTATAGATAAAAGGTAAAGATTTTCCTCTGACATTAAGTCCAGTCATGTCTGACTCTGGGGGGTGGTGCTCATCTCCATTTCTAAGACGAAGAGCCGGCATTGTCCATAGACACCTCCAAGGTCATGTGGCCAGCATGACTGCATGGGGTGCCATTACCTTCCCGCAGAAAAAGTATCTACACACATATATAGTAAAGATAAGGGTTTCCCCTGACATTAAGTCTAGTTGTGTCTAGCTCTGGGGGGTAGTGCTTATCTCCATTTCTAAGCCAAAGAGCTGGCGTTGTCCATAGACACCTCCAAGGTCATGTGGCCGGCATGACTGTATGGAGCGCCATTATAGATAGATTTATTTATAGATAGATAGTATTTTATATGAACACACACACATACTATTTTTCTACCAATATAAGTTTGGGGAGGGAGGCAAAGGTTCTTGACTTTTGGCAGGATTGTGCTTCCAGAGAAGAGTAAACTACAAAGGATGAGAAGGGAATGCATTTCTGTGGGGAAAATGGACCTACAGAGCAGCAAGGATGCACTTTGAAAAGAGGGAGGAGGCGCTCACCTTCGTCCCGGTCGGAGGGCATCCGCATCTCCTCTTGCTCCACTTGCAGCCGGTGAATGCGGTCGCGGAGGGACTCCAGCTCCACACAGGAGTCCAAGGACTGTGAGGGAGGAAGGAAAAGCCCAGTTATAATGCGTGGAGTCAGTCCAGAGATCCACCCAAAAGCCAGCCCTACAAGCCCACCCATGGCATGAAGAGCCCCTTGGAGGACTCTTCTATGTTTCTACGATTGAGACCAGACAACCATAGGTTTTGGACATCAGAACCATAGAATCATAGCATTGGAAGGGACCCCCAAGTCCAAGCCCCCCATCTGCTTACCTGCAGGAATAGCACAATCTAATCCCTAATGACAGATGGCCATCTAGCATCTGTTTAAAGACCTCCCCCAGACGTCCAGGGACCCCCAAGGGCCTTTATTTATTTATTTATTTACAGCTTTTATATTCCGCCCTTCTCACCCCGCAGAGGACTCAGGGCGGATTACAGTGTACACATATATGGCAAACATTCAATGCCAATTTTTGACATACAAACATATACAGACATACACAGAGGCTATTTAACTTTTCTGGCCGCCGGGGATCTGCAACACTGATGAAGCACTTCCGCATTCCCCGCATGCTTCCCCGCTGGAATGCTTTGCTGGAGTCTTCTTTATGGCCTCATAAATCAGTTAATTTAGCCTCCCCACACTTTAAGGTGGTACCTAATTTTCCTACTTGACAGATGCAACTGTCTTTTGGGTTGCAAAGGTCAACAACAGGCTGCACACAATTGGTTGGAAACCCACTCCAACCTGGGCTGGCTTTGAACTCATGACCTTTTGGTCAGAGTGAATGCAGCTGACACTCAGCCAGCTGCACAATCCCGGCGCATTTAGTCCAACCTCCTTCATGCCAGGCAGGGAAAACACAATCAAAGCCCTCCATCCAGCATCTGTTTAATATCCTCCAAAAAACCATCCTCCACCAGATTTCCAATGCTGGACAGTCCTTCCTAATAATGTTCAAGTGGAGTCACCTTTCCTGCCACTTGAAGCCTTGGCCACATAACTGGGGCTTCTGGGAGCTGAAGTCCCAAACAGCTACAGGAGCACCTGTCTTGAAGGCCTGCCCAAATTATTATTTATTATTGTTCTGTATGGATAGATTTTGAAGTATCCCCTCCAGCCAAAAGTAAATATGTACAAAATGTTAAAGCACATGGAAAGAATACCCGCTTGCGCCCGAGCGGCAGCCCCTCCGTCCCGGCTCCGTGCCCGGCGTCGCAGAAGCAGAGTCCCCCCGGCAGCCCCAGCCGGAGCAGAGCCCGTCCTTCGGGGCAAAGGTCCGTCTCGCAGCCAAAGGCGAAGCTGGCCAGAGCGTGGTAGTGGGCCAGCAGCACCACCGCGTGCACCAGCTCCGCCAGAGACCAGCTCTGCTCTCCGGTCTTCAGCAACTTCTGTGGGGAAACAACAGTGACAGAGACTGACCTTAATGCCGGGGTCCTAGGGCTCAAGGCAGACCCCCATCGAACCTCCCGACCCACACCTCTAGGCTCCCTTCCACTCAGCAGTCCCCAAGCATGATCTGGTTCAGAGGAAATCCAGGCGGGATGGTTGGATTCCAGCCCTATGAAATATTTCATCACGGGCGCACTTATTATTAGTCATTATTTATTATTATTAATTATTATTTAGTATTATTGTTCATTACTAGTTAGTATTATTATTCTAGGAGTCCCTGGTGGTGCAGTGGGTTCAACTGCTGAGCTGCTAAACTTGCTAACTGAAATGTTGCAGGTTCGAATCCGGGGAGAAGCATGAGCTCCCCCTGTTAGCCCCAGCTTCTGCCAACCTAGCAGTTCAAAAACATGCAAATGTGAGTAGATCAATAGGTACCACTCCAGTGGGAAGATGACGGCGCTCCATGCAGTTATGCTGGCCACATGACCTTGGAGGTGTCTATGGACAATGCCGGCTCTTTGGCTTAGAAATGGAGATGAGCACCATCCCCCAGAGTTGGACACGACTTGGACATAATGTCAGGGGAAAACCGTTACCCTTTTATTATTATTCAATATTTATTTATTTATATCCTGCTTTATCTCTCAACACGGAGTCGTGGGGGCTGTCGTTTTACAAAGTCTTGAGCCTTCTCTGCCAAAAAAGCGAATGCTTCACCAAACTACAAATCCCATTTAATTAAAGATGAAGTTCCCCAAAGAGGAGCTCCTGAAGCAGCTCCCCTTTTTGCTTTGTGTCAGCACTAAGATGACCGTATGACATGAACCTCATGAGCTCCCTCATTGGGGCCAGGTCATTTAGCTCCCCAAAAATGAGCATTTGTCTTGATTAAATAAGGTACCATAAGCACTCAAGTATAAGCTGAGTTTTTCAGCCCTTTTTATGTTGAAAAAGCCCTTTTCGGCTTAGTCGAATCAAGGTTATTTATTATTTTATACTATTGACTATTATTATTACATTTCAATTATTTTGCTCTATTTGTTGCTATTATTACATTTATTATTTTTCTCTATTATTATTATAATTATTACATTTATTATTATTATTACATTTATTCCTTTTCTCTATTAGAATTACATTTATTCCTTTTCTCTATTAGAATTACATTTATTATTCTACTCTTACTATTACATTTATTATTTTACTCTATCATTATGAAATTTATTTTATTTTATTATTACTGCTGCTATTACATTACTTTACCCTATTTGTTATTATTACAGTTATTATTTTTATTTATTATAACATTTATTAATTTACTCTATTAAATGTCAAAGGACATTTGATAGAATGCCAAGTTTTTAAACGTTGTGTTTTCTCAAATACATCTCAATTGTACCCTTGGTTTGCTCCTGATACAATAAATAAATAAATAAATATCCGAGTATATATGGTTTGTACGGGGCAGGTGTACGGGGCAGTCAAGGGGTCCCTCCCCCCAGGCTCACCTCGATGTGTTCTTTGCCGACCAGCCAGGGCCGATGGGCCAGGATCTTGTTGATCTCGCTGAGCTTCCGGAGCTTCGGGGGGATGTAGTCCAGGCCTCGGAGCCAGAGGGGGTCGCCCCCCAAACGCAGGAACTGCAGGACGTGGAGGTTGACCAGGTAGCGGCAGCGGTGTCGGGCAGCAGCCTGGAGAGCCAGACACAGGAATGGTCAGCGGAGTGAGAGAGAGAGATCCCCCAAAATGCCATAGATTCCCCCCAGAGTCACAAGCTACAACTCCCAGTATCCCTTAGCATTCAGCCAAGGTACTTAAAGTAGTCTCAAACAGCATTCATTCTACACTGTAGATGCATTCTGAGCTATATAGGGCAGGCAAGGGCAAACTTCCAGGAGTTTTGGACTTTAAATTCCACAATTGCAGAAGCTGGGGCTAACAGCAGGAGCTCACCCCGCTCTCCGGATTTGAACCACCAACCTTTCAGTCAGCAAGTTCAGTAACTCAGCGCTTTAACTGCTGTGCCACCAGGGGCCCAATAATAATAACAATAATAAATATTATAATATAATATATCATAATAATATAATAATAAGGGTTCGACTTGTGATTGTGTGATACAAAATCCAGCATATATATCTCATTTGCTATGTCATACTGTGTGTTTGTGTCAGTAAAATAATAATAATAATAATAATATCCTATATACTGCCTTGATGCTGACGATATAATCTATACAAATAAAAATGTAATGTTCGTTTGTGGAATTAACATAACTCAAAAATCACTGGACGAATTGATACCAAATTTGGGCACAATACACCTATCAGGCCAGCGAGTGACCATCACTCATAAAAACACTGAAAAGCACAACAGAAGAGACTTTAAAAGCAAAACAAAACAAAAAAAAAACAAAAGGAAATTACACCACATTCGCAAAACCACATATATACACAAACACACATGTATACACATATACATACACATATACACACACAAAACACATATACACTGACTGGGCCACAGCAACGCGTGCCAGGGGATGTCTAGTAGTAGTAGTAGTAGTAATAATAATAATAATAATAATAATAAATTTATATCCTACTTTGATGCTGACTATGATGATGATAATGAAAGCTATATCCTGTTTTGATTTATTTATGTATTTATTTACTGTACTTATATACCGCCTTTCTCACCCCTGGGGGGACTCAAGGCGGTTTACAACATACTAATGGCAAAAATTCAATGCCGACATAAAGTAACACAAAGAAATCATAATAGCTAATGACTATGCTAAAATAACAGTAATTATAGGGGGTTTTTTTGTCGTGTCAGGAGCGACTTGAGAAACTGCAAGTCGCTTCTGGTGTGAGAGAATTGGCCATCTGCAAGGACGTTGCCCAGGGGACGCCTGGATGATTTGATGTTTTTATCATCCTTGTGGGAGGCTTCTCTCATGTCCCCACATAAAGAGCTGGAGCTGATAGAGGGAGCTCATCCGCTTCTCCCCGGATTCAAACCTGCGACCTGTTAGTCTTCAGTCCTGCCGGCACAGGGGTTTAACCCACTGCGCCACCGGGGGCTCCAGTAATTATAGTAATTATAATTATAGTAATTATAGTAGTAGAGCAGCAATCCCCAGAGTCGGACATGACAATTAATGTCAAAGGGAAATCTTTCCCTTTACTTATCCCACATTGATGGTGATAATTATGATGATAATAGAAGTTATTATACCCTGCTTTGATGTTGAGGATATGATAATAATAATAATAATAATAATAATAATAATAAAAGTATATCCCAAGTTGATGTCGGCGATGATAATAAAAGTTAGACCCCGCTTTAATGCTGATAATAATAATAATAATAATAATAATAATAATAATAATAATTATATTGGGTGTTTTGGGGCTCACCATGATGGCAATGTAGTGCCGGCAGTCGAAGGGCAAGGGCCCATCCATGTGGAGGAGGTAGTGCTGCATCCTGAGGAAGCTCTCCAGGTAGGGCGGGTGGAGGCCCATCTGTTGGGTCAGGGCTTCCCGGCGGCTCCGGCCGGACAGCGCCTTCGCCAAATACAGTTGTGGGGCCCGCTCCGTGTCCCCTCCGGCGCTCATCTTGGCCGCCTGCAAGGAAAGAAGAGGGATGAGGCCGGTCAGGAAAATCCCTTTATGGCAAGACACCTGTCTGGCACCTGAAATGCTTTAGCTAGGCATGCACGCATGGAAGAAGTGGGTTGGGCTGGATAGCCCTTGGAGGTCCCTTCCCATTCCTCAGAAAATGGAGGCCTCTCCGCCTTTGGAGGCCTTTCAGTCGGCATCTGTCTGGAGTGCTTTAGTTGTATATTCCTGTGTGGCAGAAGAGGGGTGGACCAGATAGCCCTTGGAGGTCCCTTCCAATTAAAGTGCGCTCTCCATTTTTGAAGACCTTTCAGCAGCAGTTGTATGTGCATCTTTCAGGAGTGTTTTAGTTGTATATTCCTGTATGGCAAAAGAGGGTTGGACTAGAGTGCCCTTGGAAGTCCCTTCCTATTTAAGTGTATTACTGATTGAGGATGGGAGAGGTGGGCTATCTTCAAGGGTCTGCCAACAGAGGTTGGATGGACATTTTTCAGGGATGCTTTAGTTGTATATTCCTGTATGGCAAAAGAGTGTTGGACTAGATGGTCCTTGGAGGTCCCTTCCTATTTAAGTGTATTGCTGACTGAAGATGGAGAGGTGGGGGTCTTTCAACAGAGGTTGGATGGACATCTTTCAGGGATGCTTTAGTTGTATTTTCCTTTATGACATAAGAGGGTTGGACTAGATGGCCCTTGGAGGTCCCTTCCCATTTAAGTGTATTACTGATTGAAAATGCAGAAGTGGGCTATCTTCAGGGGTCTTTCAACAGAGGTTGGATGGGCATCTTTCAAGGATGTTTTAGTTGTGTAATCCTTTATGACATAAGAGGGTTGGACTAGATGGCCTTTGGAGGTCCCTTCCAATTAAAGCGTATTACTGATTGAGGATGGGAGAGGTGGGCTATCTTCAAGGGTCTTCCAATAGAGGCTGGATGGGCATCTTTCAAGGATGCTTTAGTTGTGTAATCCTTTATGACATAAGAGCGTTGGACTAGATGGCCTTTGGAGGTCCCTTCCAATTAAAGTGTATTACTGATTGAAGATGGGAGAGGTGGGCTATCTTCAGGAGTCTTTCAACAGAGGTTGGATGGGGATGCTTTAGTTGTATATTCCTTTATGACATAAGAGGGTTGGACTAGATGGCCTTTGGAGGTCCCTTCCAATTCAAGTGTGCTCTCCATGTTTGAAGGCCTTTCAACAGAGGTTGGATGGGCATCCTTCAGGGATATTTTGGTTGTATATTCCTGCATGGCAGAAGAGGGCTGGACTAGATGGCCCTTGGAGGTCCCTCCCAATTAAAAGTGTATTACTGATAGAAGACGGGAGAGGTGGGCTATCTTCAAGGTCTTCCAACAGAGGTTGGATGGGTATCTCTCAGGGATGCTTTAGTTGTATATTCCTGTATGGCAAAAGAGGGTTGGACTAGATGGCCCTTGGAGGTCCCTTCCTATTTAAGTGTATTACTGATTGAAGATTGAAAGGTAACCTCTCCATCTTTGGAGGCTTTTTAACAGAGATTAGATGGGCATCTCTCAGGAATGCTTTAGCTGTATATTCCTGTATGGCAGAAAGGGGCTGGACTAGATGACCCCAAGGGTCTCTTCCAATTTAAGTGTATTATTGATTAAAAATTGAGAGGTAACTTCTCCATCTTTGGAGGTTTTTCAACAGAGGTTAGATGGACATCTTTCAAGAATGCTTTAGTTGTATATTCCTGTGTGGCAGAAAAAGGGTGGACTAGATGGCCCTTGGAGGTCCCTTCCAATTTAAGTGTACTATGGATTAAAGATTGAGATGCAACTTCTCCATCTTTGGAGGCTTTTCAACAGAGGTTAGATGGGCATCTTTCAGGAATGCTTTAGTTGTATATTCCTGTACGGCAGAAAAGGGATGGACTAGATAGCCCTTGGGGTGCCTTCCAACTTAAGTGTGCTCTCCATCTTTGGTTGGATGGGCATCTTTCAAGAATGCTTTAGTTGTATATTCCTGTACGGCAGAAAAAGGGTGGACTAGATGGCCCTTGGAGGTCCCTTCCAATTTAAGTGTACTATGGATTAAAGATTGAGATGCAACTTCTCCATCTTTGGAGGCTTTTCAACAGAGGTTAGATGGGCATCTTTCAGGAATGCTTTAGTTGTATATTCCTGTACGGCAGAAAAGGGATGGACTAGATAGCCCTTGGGGTGCCTTCCAACTTAAGTGTGCTCTCCATCTTTGGTTGGATGGGCATCTTTCAGGAATGCTATAGTTGTATATTCCTGTACGGCAGAAAAGGGGTGGACTAGATGGCCCTTGGGGTCCCTTCCAACTTAAGTGTGCTCTCCATCTTTGGTTGGATGGGCATCTTTCAGGAATGCTATAGTTGTATATTCCTATACGGCAGAAAAGGGGTGGACTAGATGGCCCTTGGGGTCCCTTCCAACTTAAGTGTGCTCTCCATCTTTGGTTGGATGGGCATCTTTCAGGAATGCTATAGTTGTATATTCCTGTACGGCAGAAAAGGGGTGGACTAGATGGCCCTTGGGGTCCCTTCCAACTTAAGTGTGCTCTCCATCTTTGGTTGGATGGACATCTTTCAGGAATGCTTTAGTTGTATATTCCTATACGGCAGAAAAGGGGTGGACTAGATGGCCCTTGGGGTCCCTTCCAACTTAAGTGTGCTCTCCATCTTTGGTTGGATGGGCATCTTTCAGGAATGCTTTAGTTGTATATTCCTATACGGCAGAAAAGGGGTGGACTAGATGGCCCTTGGGGTCCCTTCCAACTTAAGTGTGCTCTCCATCTTTGGTTGGATGGACATCTTTCAGGAATGCTTTAGTTGTATATTCCTATACGGCAGAAAAGGGGTGGACTAGATGGCCCTTGGGGTCCCTTCCAACTTAAGTGTGCTCTCCATCTTTGGTTGGATGGGCATCTTTCAGGAGTGCTTTAGTTGTATATTCCTGTACGGCAGAAAAGGGGTGGACTAGATGGCCCTTGGGGATCTCTTCCAAATTGAGATCCTTGCCTCCATGCTGTATGCAAGCAGTAGCCCAGGCTTGAGCTGAAGGAGGCCAACCATGACGTGCTCCCATTTAGGAGAAGGCAGCAATACAGAGGATATAAGACTGGCACCATGAAGCTTTAGGTTGCCGTCCTCAAAAAGGGAAAAGAAGCCCACCAAACTACAAAGCACTGATCCAGCTCCAAGGCATAAGAAAGCCCTCATTTTCAACTATTGTAGATATGGGGATAAATGGAGCTTCCTTTCAATCCTCAATTGATCTCATTCATAAGCAAAACTTTTCCATTAGCTTTGGGTTGAATTCTCAATAATGCATTTTCCATTACATTTTAATGTCTTCCCATCATTGCTTTCAATGTATGCATTTCAATGGTCTTATGCTCTAGCTTAGATGCATTTACACTGTAGAATTAATGCAAAGGAATTCTAGGAGCTGTACTTTGGGGAGGAACAGCAGAGTAAAACTACACCTCCCAGGGTGCAATGGCACAGAGCTTTACTAGAAAGAGAATGAAAGGACAGACAGAGGAGGGAGAGTGGAAAATCACTGGCTGCCCAGGCAGGATTTTCCTTGTTCCTATTCTTAACATTCCTGCACAGCTTTACAATAACGTAATTCTTAGGCTTGAGCATTTAAAAAGCAATATTGGGAACACTATTTTATTGCGAAAGAGCCAAGAATTCAACTGTTGTGGCAGTTTATATAGATGCATTATTTTTCAAATGACAGATATATAAATAGACAATTTGTGAAATCATCAATTTCCAGTATTTTTTTTTAAAGTTGGGATGCAAAAAGGGGTGCCTCTCCCCAAAATTAATAATAACATCAAGAGAGTAAAAGTGGCATATATATACATTATATATATAATCATCATCAACAACTATATATATGTATATATACACACACACACACAGAGTATATATATAATATTCCTATTAATTATTAATCTATATAAATACAAATGTAATGTTTGTTTGTGGGATTAACATAATTCGCACTGGATGAATTGAAAGTTGGGGTGCAAGAAGGGGTACCTCTCCCCAAAATTGGGGTGCAAGAAAGGGTACCTCTCCCCAAAATTAATAATAATATTAAGAGAGGGAAAGTGGCACATATATACATTATATATATATACATACATATATACACACACACATATACATATATATAATCATCAACAACAACTATATATCTATATACAGCAGATATATATATATATATATATATATATATATATATATTCCTATTAAATTATTAATCTATATAAATAAAATGTAATGTTCGTTTGTGGGATTAACATAACTCACACTGGATGACTTGAAAGTTGGGGTGCAGGAAGGGGTACTTCTCCCCAAAATTAAAATTAATAATAATATTAAGAGAGGAAAAGTGACATAAATATATATATATATACACACACACATATAATCATCAACAATATATATACTATATATATATATATATATATATATATATATATATATATATATATAATATTACTATGAATTAATCTATATAAATAAAAATGTTATGTTCATTCGTGGGATTAACATAACTCAAAAACCACTGGAAGAATTGACACCAATGAGTGACCATCATTCATAAAAACACTGAAAAACACAGCAGAAAACACTTTTAAAAGCCAAAAAATGATTAAAAAATTACAACGCATGCACAAAACCACATATATATATATATACGCAAACACGCGTATACACACATATATACAAATATATATATATACACACAAAACACATATACATGGATTGGGCCGCAGCAATGCGTGGCAGGGGATGGCTGGTATAATGTATGCATATATATGTGTGTGTGTGTTATGATAGGTATTAATAATAATATTATAACACATTACTATTAACAACTAGCTGTACCTGCTATGCGTTGCTGTGGCCAACCTTCCCTCCTTCTTTCTCTTCTTTCTTTCTTTCTTTCATTCGTTCCCTCCTTTCCTTCCTTCCCCTTTTTCTTTCTTTCTCTCCTT